TCCTGGATATTTTGTGTTACGGATTTGCTGGACTTGAGGTTTTCTTTGGTTGATGAATGTATATCCTCTAGCGAGTCTTCAATAACTGAGATTCTCTATTTCATCTCTTGAATTCTATTAGTTATACTCACATCTTTATTTCCTGATCATTTATTCAGCCTTTCCATTTCCAGCATTGCCTCATTCTGTGTTTTCTTTATTGTGTCTATTTCAGCTTTCATACTTTGAACTGTTTCAAGAGCTTCCTTCACTTGTTTGGTTGTTTTTTCTTGGGTTTCTTTAGATTCTTTAAGAGATTTGTTTATTTCTTGAATTTTTTGGTTTGTCTTTTCCTCCATTTCGTGTAATTTTTTGCTTGCTTTTTCTTCTATTTCTTTAAGGGATTTTCTTGTTTCCTCTTTAAAGTTCTCTATCCTCTTGCTGAGATAATATTTGAGGTCCATCTCTTCTTCATGCTCTGTGTTGGGCTTTTCTGATCTTGCTGGTGTGTAGTCCCTAGATTCTGGTGGTGTCATATTGGTCTTTCTGTAGTTGAGTGGTTTCTTATTTTGTCTTCTTCCAATATCTTTTTCCAGTGGGTGCAGGTGGGGTCTTTCTTTCTCCTCTTATGACCCAGTGGTGTGTGTCGGCCAGGGATTCAATGTCCGCAGCTCTGGATGGTCTTGCCTCTCCTGCTAGTCTCCTCACTCTGAAGGAGTTAACCCTCCATAGGGGTCAGGTTGGTGGAACAGGAAGCCCTGATTTTTCTTTAAACCTATAATGTCTCCCTCTATTATATTATCTATTATCTTGCTCTCTGCTTTCCCCAAATCAACCTCCCTGTCCCATCATGTCTTCCTCACCACTGCTCTTCTCCCCTTCTCATTCTCCTAGTTCCCTCTCCCCTCCCCACATACTCCCAATTTGCTCAGGAGATCTTGTCCTTTTCCCCTTCTCCAGGGGACCATGTATGTCTCTCTTAGGGTCCTCCTTGTTTACTAGCTTCTCTGGCAGTGTGGATTGTAGGCTAGTAATTTTTTTCTCTATATCTAAAATCCACATATGAGTGAGTACATACCATGCTTGTCTTTTTGTGACTGGGTTACCTCTTCTAGTTCCATCCATTGCCTGCGAATTTAACTATTCCATTGTTTGTTTGTTTGTTTTTTTCTGCTGAGTAGTACTCCATTGTGTAAATGTACCACATTTTCTCTATCCATTCTTCAGTTGAGGGGCATCTAGGTTGTTTCCAGGTTCTGGCTATTACAAATAATGCTGCGATGAACATCGTTGACCAGGTGTCCTTGTTGCATGAATGTGCTTCTTTTGGGTATATGTCTAAGAGTGGAATTGCTGAATCTTGTGGTAGACTGATTCCAAATTTCCTGAGGAATTGCCATACAGATTTCCAAAGTGGCCGTACGAGTTTGCACTCCCACCAGCAGTGGAGGAGTGTTCCTCTTTCTCCATGTCCTCTCTAGCATAAACTGTCATTGGTGTTTTTGATTTTAGCCGTTCTGACAGGTGTAAGATGGTATCTCAGAGTTGTTTTGATTTGCATTTCCCTGATGGCTAAGGATGTTGAACATTTTCTTATGTGTCTTTCAGCCATTTTGGATTCCTCTATTGAGAATTGTCTATTTAGTTCTATACCCCACTTTTTAATTGGATTATTTGGTGTTTTGGAGACTAGCTTCTTGAGTTCTTTATAAATTTCGGAGATCAGCCCTCTGTCAGATGTGGGGTTGGTGAATAGCTTTTCCCAATCCATGGACTGTCATTTTTTGTCTTGTTGATTGTCTCCCTTGCCTTACAGAAGTTTCTCAGTTTCAGGAGGTCCCATTTATTAATTTTTGATCTCACTGTTTGTGCTACTGGTGTCATGTTCAGGAAGCTATCTCTTGTACCAATTCTTTCAAGGGTATTTTCTACTTTCTCTTCTAATAAGTTCAGTGTGGCTGGGTTTATGTTGAGGTCTTTGATCCATTTGGACTTGTGCATGGCAGTAGACATGGCTCTATCTGCAGTCTTCTACATGTCAGCATCCAGTTATGCCAGCACCATTTGTTGAAGATGCTTTTTTTTATTCCATTGTATAACTTTAGCTTATTTGCCAAAAATCAGGTGTTCATAGGTGTGCAGGTTAATATCAGGGTTTTCACATTGTTCTACCTCTCTATTTTTGTGCCAATACCAAGCTGTTTTCAGGACAATAGCTCTATAATAGAGCTTGAAATCAGGGATGGTGACCCAGCCTGTCTTTCTAAGGAAGTGGGAGATGGGATCGAAAGCGTCAATCACCAGAGTCTACTGTAACATTTTTCTTTCTAAAGAGTTAACCTTAAAATAATTAAGAAATGAAAAAAGGTGTCAGTTCCCAAATACTTATGACATTTTGGCCTCTTGCCAGTATAGGATCAAATAAATTTCCAGTGTATGGGCCAAGTGCTTGAATGGAGAGGACCCTGTCTCTAAATTGCCTGTCCCATGTCTATCTCCCGTCAAAATTCCCCTCTCTGCACAGGTAATGCTAACTGGCATTGGGAAATATGAACAATGAACAATATTACTACTTTCTTCTGACTGAGGTGTGGTAGTGGGAAACCTCTCTAATTACCCATAGAAGGAACCTCAACAGTATATCTGTGGTTTCATTTGTATAACATCCAGTTATAGTGAAATGTCTTTGACTGGTACCTGATCCAGGCAGGAAATGACATAGCAGGGAGACTCATGCATAAACAAGAGAAGAAGGTAGTGGGCCCCTTCTCTCTTCCTCCAGAGTCACCATGTGATCCCGGGATAAGGAGACCAATGGAAGGCATCCGATAAGATAAGTCTTATAAAATATATAATTTTATTATAATTAAGATATAATTAAGAATGAGCTAACAGATGAGAAACCTAGTCATTGGCTAAGCAGCATTTGTACCTAATAGAAGTCTCTGTATATTATTTGGGGCCCTAACTCAAGTCTCTGTATATTATTTGGGGTCCCAACTCAGCGGGCAGAACTCAGGCAGCTGGTGGAAAGCGCCCACGAGGTGGTAGGGCTTGGAAGGCTTTTGGTGGAAAGATTTATCGTAACAGGTACCTGCCTAGAGATGTGAGGGAGAAAGGCAGAGCAAGAGGAGACAAAGAGAAATGGCCATTGAGTAATTGGGGCTGTGGCTCTTTTGTTTGCAATTATCACATCTGTACTGTTAAGTTTTTTCATGTAACCATTGTCTACTAAATGAGATTCTCAGGAGAGGAAAGAACGAGGCTTTGATAATGGGCAGAGTGAATGTTCAGTAAGCAGTTGCTGAATTAGCAAATAAAACACTAAATGAGTGAGAAAATAAAATAAGTTAGTGATCAGGCCACACTGAGGCTGGTCCAGTTAAAGATATTGGAAATCTGTTCCTTGTAAGATATGAGGACCACAAAATCTTACTTCCTCTAGTTGCTGAAGGTGCTTGACATGGTTTCCAGACACACTCAATGAAACCAGCTCTGGCTATTTGAGGCCGAAAGAGTTTGCTGCAATTAAGTGATGATTCATAAACTCTGATGAGATTGGAAACAACTCATATGAACCTGCAGCCAATGCAGCAGCCACATCTATGTGTCAGCAAATCTTCTATACCAGGGGTTGGACAGCAACCGCCTCTGCAAGTCACTTGTCAATGCCATTTGTTCACCACCAACACCAGGATAGCTTCGGTGCAGCCTCCACATTTTAGAACATCCAGCTTCATTTTCAGAGTCTGATGTAAAATCAAGGCAAGCGAGTATCTGCTTTTCCATATTCATTAGTAGGAGATAACTCTTAGCCATAGTTAAGGGGCAAGTATTAGAGAATACAAAGGTTAATAGCTGTTTACTGTAGGCTATTTGACTGCACAATGTTTTTTGTCTCTTATAATAATAAAAAATGCACCTGTCTGTTGCTGTTAGCTGATCCCATATAGGTGAATGTATGGTTAAGCCCAGCGACAGCCCAGCCTCTTGTTTCTACAGTGTCCTAACTCAGTATTTTCAATAAAATTCTAATGGGTACTGTCACCGTCGTATCACAGTAGTGGAAAGGGAGAGGAAAGAAGGGGAAACCATAGAAGTAAGTAAAGCCACACAGCTGTAGTCCTTGTTTCTATGACTACCAATAAATGCACAGATAATGCTTTTTTGCTTTCTCCACTTTCTGCTTCATGTTTGTTTTGTATTTAGCCACACCAGATGTTCAGAATTCTTTTTTTTTTATTAGTTCAAATTAGGAACAAGCTTGTTTCACATGTAAATCCCTTCTCCCTCTCGCTCCCCTCACTCTGCCTACCCCACCCTGACCTACCCTCCACCCCATCCACCCTCCACTAACCCAGGCAGGGTAGGGCCCTCAATGGGGGCTCCCAAAGTCCAATACTTCATCCTGGTCTGGGCCTAGGCCCTTCCCTGTGTGTCCAGGGAAAGAGTGCATTCCTTCATGTGGGATGGGCTCTCAAAGTCCCTTCTTACACCAGGGAAAAATACTAATCCACTACCAGGGGCTCCCTGGAGTGCAGAGGCCTCCTTATTGATCTCCATGTTCAGGGGTCTGGGTCAGTCCTATACTGGCCTCCCAGACAGCATCTGAGGTTGATGTGTTCCCCCTTGTTCAGGCCAGCTGTTTCTGTAGGTTTTTCCAACCTGGTACCGACCCCTTTGATCTTTATTCCTCCCTCTCTGCAACTGAGTTCCTGAGTTCAGTTCAGTGTGTATCTGTGGATGTCTGCCTCTGCTTCCATCAGCCACTGGATTAGGACTCTAGGATGGCATAAAAATTAGTCATCAATCTCATTTTAGGGAAAGGGCATTTAGGTTATCCTCTGCACCATTGCCTGGATTGTCAGTTCATGTCATCCTTGTAGATCTCTGGAAGTCTCCCTAGTGCCAGATCTCTCCTCGCACCTATAATGGCTCCCTCTAATATGGTATCTCTCATCCTGCTCTCCTCTATTCTCTCCCCCCCCCGCCTCTCCTTCCTCCCCTCTCCTCTCCTCTCCTCTCCTCTTCTCCTGCTCTCATTCTGGCAGCTCCCTCTCCCTTACCCTCTTGCTCCCAATTAGCTCAGGAGTTCCTGCCCCTTCCCATACCTAGGGTCCATGCATTTATCCCCTAGAGTACTTCATGTTTCCTAACTTCTTTGGTGAAGAGAATTGTAGGCTGGTAATCCTTTGTTCTATGTCTAAAATTCACATATAAGTGAGTACATACCATGTTTGTCTTTTTGTGACTCGGTTACCTCACTCAGGATGGTTTCTTCTATTTCCATCCTTTTGCCTGTGAATTTCAAGATTCCATTGCTTTTTTCTGCTGAGTAGTACTCCATTGTATAAATGTACCACATTTTCTTTATCCATTCTTCAGTTGAGGGACATCTAGGTTGCTTCCAGGATCTTCTGGTGGTATCACTATCCCTGACTTCAAGCTCTACTATGGGATACATTCACCTATATGGGATCAGCTAACAGAGCCATAGTTCTGAAAACAGCTTGGTGTTGCCACAAAAATAGACAGATAGACCAATGGAATCGAATTGAAAACCCTGATATTAACCCACACACCTACGAACACCTTATTTTTGACAAAGATGCTAAATCTATACAATGGAAAAAAGATAGCATCTTCAACAAATGGTGTTGGCACAACTGGACTCGGATATGCAGAAGATTGCAGATAGATCCATACCTGTCACCATGCACGATCTCAACATAAATCCAGCCACAATGAATCTTCTAGAAGAGAAAGTGGAGATACCCTTGAACGAATAGGCACAGGAGACTGCTTCCTGAACATTTCAACAATAGCACAGACATTGAGATCTTCAATTAATAAGTGGGACCTCCTGAAACTTCTCAGCTTCTGTA